TTCCCACTAGACTTGAATCTCAAAGCTTGCTTTGCGGTACTTGACATTAGACATATATCCAAGAGACACTGGTATGTGAAAGAATGAAAATTCAATCTCTTCTCCATATCACTCTGAACTCCTGCAGGACTCCGACAACCCATAGCCATTGCCAATGCTGTTATCCTGACCTTGTCCCAAAGAAGAGAAGAGTCTGGATCTCATGGGAGAGCACCTCGAACCACACCTATGTCCATATTCAAGTACCGATTGAGTGTATCTTTAGAAAAGGAAAACACACTTTCTGTCTGGTTTATCTTGATGATACTACCAGGAGGGCAAGTGTCAGTACCCACCAAGCATCCCAAGGGCCTCCATTCTTCAAGTCTCAACTTAAATACCATGTCCTTGGTAAGATCTCCCTGCCTGCCTAGCCTGGCTTTGGTCCCCTTCCTATACACTCTGGTGGCATTTGTTTTGTTAATAGTCATAATCTTCACTTTGGAGTTATGAATCTCAATCCAAGAAACTTACTCAATCAGTAAGAAATATGACTTAATTTTCTGTAATAATTGACTTCCGAATCTGAGCCCTCCAGACTTCTGAGCTGACCAGAAAAACAGCGTCATTCTTCCCAGGGTTTCCGCACTTCCCTCCTCCTGTAGGATTGCTCGTCAATCCCTGATCTGCAGCCATCAGTCTACACATTTGCTACAGGGGAGAGACAGCATGACCCGCCAGTCCACATGGCTCTTGAGCTACAGTGTGTCATGGCCATATATGTGGGGCCTGGCACCCTGCTGTTACTTCTGGGCTATGCTTTGGGCAGAAGGAATGTTTAGTAAGGCTGTCCCAGTCCTACCCATCTGCACATGTCACACTGGCCATTTCTTCTTTGTGACACCATTGCTTTTCTGAAGGTGCTGCTGGGAAGCAGGGTTTGGGGGCTCTTCTTTGGGAGCTCAGGGATGGTCTTCTAGTTTAGACGAAACTCTTTCTAGATATTTTGGTTTCTAGAGGTGTTAGTAAACAAGTTTTATTTTCATCCTGCCTCATGTCTCTTCTGAGGCAATAAACAGAGGACCAATTAACAGAGTGGGGGAGGGGGAGGGGAAAGAAATGAAAAGTAAAAGAGCAATAGAGCGTGGGTGAATGGGTCAAAGAAATCCCAGCCACAGTTGAAGTTGTCTGGTCAATGCCTGCCTTTTTTGGTTATGCTATGAGCTCCACCAGGCCTGGGACAAGATCTGTTCTGTTTGCCTTCTAACCTCAGTGTTCGAAACCTTCCTTTGCTCATAGAAGATCTCATTAAGTTATTCTTGGATAAATGAATGAATAAGTGGAAATGAAATTTGGAGCCTGTGAAGGACTTATGGAAAGCATAATGGTGAAGAGGGTAGACTCTGGAGCAGATGGCTAGGATGCAAATCTTGGTCCTAATAAAGTTAGGAGAGCAAAACCCATAACCCCTTTGTGCTTCAAACTCCTCTTCTGTCAAATGGTTGGTGTGAAGATTAAAAGTGTTTCGAACGCTCTTAGAAAGTTCCTGGCACATGGTAAGCAGCATGAGTGATGGTCATCATTACTTTTAATTTTATTACTGTCATTAATGTTATTATTTGGCTTTTTAAAAATTTATTATCATATATTAGTTAGACAAAGGGGTTTCACTGTGATACTTCAACACATGCATATAATATACTTTGATCAAATCCACCCCCTCTATCCTTTCCCCCATCTTTAACACAATTTCAACAGGCTTCATAATTCTGTCCACACATGGGTGTTCCAATCATTTTCACGTCCCCCTTCACCTCCTCCCTTCACCCTCGTGCCACCCGATGGTTCCCACCCCCTGAACAAGACCTGTTTTACAGTCCTGTTATTCACTTTTAAATCTAGGTTCTGCAAATGAGAACATGGGATATCTGTCTTTCTTAGTCTGGCTTACTTCGCTTAACATGATTTTTTTCTATTTTTTAAATTATTTTAAAACCCTTAAACAGGACTGCTTTCTAGACATTTATTTAGAGAGAATAGCTCTGACCCATTTGTAGCAAAGCTTCCATCAATAAAATTCATATAAAATGTATTTTTTGTGTCCCTTTCCAGACTTTTAAGGCTGCATACCTGTCTCTACACTTCTCTGGTTCCCTCAGGCCAGGACAGCTCCTCTTCAGTAATCCTGTCTGGGGTTTCATCTGTTATTGGGCCTTCTTAGCAGTATGTCATTAGGGAATAGTTTTCAACAACTCCTGGAATTTCTTAAAAGATCCTATACAAGTAGAGCTTTTTGCCCTATAAGTGTCACTCAGGCAAATTTTCTTATCCTTTGCCCTTGCCAGTATTGGAATTTACCTGCTATCTTTCTGCTTATTCAGTCATTGTCTCACATAGCAGTTTAAGAGTAGATAGAGCACTTAATGACATTTGTCAGTATAGAGATTGCAATGTTCTCTCTCAAATAATTTGTAAAATTCCCATTGATCATTGGCATATAAAAAGATAATTACTAGCATGGCTAGGGTCAACATTCAAGATAGAACATACATAGAATGGGGGCTAGAGTATCATAAAAAAGAAAAAATAATTTTTATATTATTTTTATATTTATTAAATTATATTAAAATATAATTCAAAAAGAAAAATAATATTCAACAACAGAAGGCTAATTATTTTCATAATTAATACTTCTATAAGTCAAATAATTTTCCATAACCTATATTCTGATTTTCACAGGCTCCAATTCTCACATTATTGGATCTCTCAAAGGATTCTTTCAGTGACTTTGCTTCATCCACTTGGTTTTTCATCTCAAACCCTGAAATACAGCAAATTTGGCAGCAAAGTTCTTGTTCTTAATGTCTTCTTTCTTTTTCTAGCCTCCTCACAGTTCCTGCCACTAACCTAAAGTTATACTTTTACCTAAATATTTTTGCATTCCATTATAATATTTCCCCATCTGGTCTCTCTTGGCCAGACAATATTTTATCAGCTTCGAGGAATATTTATCTTTATTTGTGCTGCACACATGCCCTCTGAAGGACTTGTGTTCTAATGTATGATATATTTTGGGCAAACAGAATCATGATAGCGTACATTATAGATAAACTCGAGATTTTCATTTCTTTGCATAATACATATTTTTATTCTGATTTGCTGTTGAGGTCCTTTGACCCTTTATAGATAAAAATGATTGTTTATCTTTACCCCAAACCTCTGCAATCTCAGGTATAGTCCCTTTTGCTTAACAGTGAACACCCACTGTCAGTGGCATTGACCATCATCACCCTGTTCTTTGGATCATTTGTGGGCATTATATCCCATAACGAATGATGCAATAAATCAGTATATGTCTGTGTCCTTTTGAGTCATTTGCCATATAGAATTTCTGTGAGGAGAGTTAGACATTCTCCCTGCTTCTTCCACCACTTATTACTAATTCTTTCTGTATTGGCTTTTCTTTTGCTCATCCCCTAAATCTAAGCTTTCCTGGGATCTCCGTCCTGGGTCTGCTCTCTTCCAGACTCCCTGGGGGACTCCATGTAGCCCTGTGACTTCTGATTCTCACCTTGCTCCTGTTTTATGTGTTCATCCATCTACTGCCCCCAAGACAAATTTGGCACATCCCTAACTGAATTTGTCATCTATAGCACCACCTGCCTTAGAAACTCACTCTTCTACTACCCTTCCATTATTCAAGCTATAGACCTAGGACCATTCTCTACTCCTCACTGTCACTTATGTTTTTAGCAAAGATACAAGTTCTGCAAATTCTGCTTGTTTGACAACCCTTGAAGCTTTTGATTTGTTCCTGCCTTAGTTTTAGGACACAATTGCACAACTAGAATGTAGCTTCTTCCTAATGTCTCTGTCACTAGTTTCTACTTTTACTCTCTCTGTACCAGCTTCCAACACCTGTCACCAGGCTTGGGAAGTCTTCTGTGGCTCTTCAGACCCACTGTTAGGTACATGTTATTTTCTTTGTGGCCTCTCTGTTTCTCCATAACACTATCACTCCATATGGCTACAGCCTGCTCATCGTCCCCCATTTTCCCCCTAGATGTTAAACTGTGTGCCTGGGATTCTGCTTACTGCTTAACTCTAGGACTTTGCCCAGTGACTGCTGCACGGAAGACCCTCAACAAGTTCTTCTTAAATATCGTTGAGTGTTAGTCGGTTTTTAAGCTTTGTAATACTTGAATTATAAAACAAGTAAAAAATGAACATAAACGCATAAATTACATAATGACTCAGTCCTGGAATTAGAAGTCCAGGATTACATTTCTGGCTCTATCTTTGCCTTTTTGAATACTTTTAATGAAACGCAAGATTTTCTCACTAAAATGTAATCATATAACACTCACCATTACTGAGTCTACAATAAAAATGACAATAACATCTTGAATTTATGGCCTCTAACTAATTAGAAGCATTTCTTATGAATTATTTATTTCTGTGAGATCCCTTTGAGGTGAGATTGCATCTTTCCTTCTAAAAGGTAATAATGGAAGATTTAGCTTCTTTGTGATGCTGACAAAACATTGGTTCAATGACACGAATATCATGAAGATTCATAACTTTTTCTTGAATCTTTATGCTCTCAGGCAGAATATGGGTTGTATAGGGTAGTCTTTGTTACACACTTGTACATCTAGTTTCTTAAGAATTCAAAATATTTTGGGGTGAAAATCTGTGCAAATTATTTCAGCATTTCATCTTCTTCCTGGATTCTTTCACCATGTTTTTCTGGAGACATTTTTTTTCCCCATACCCACTCAAACCATCTGTGTACCAGGCAAGTTTTCTAAGATGTAAAAGCAAGTGAAACTTGTCCATTTCATTTATTTAGAAAGGACAATGACTAATGATACTGTAGAAAAATGGCATAGTTAATGAAAAGGTTCACTGTGTTTGAACAGCTAAGGAAGCCTGGAAGCATGGCACAGAAAGCCATGTCCTAAAGATAAGCTCGATACACACCTTGCTTTGCAAGCTAACTTCTGCAAGTAGCATGGTCGATGTCCACCTGTGATCTGAAGGTAGCCTCTCTGAGATGTGTTCATTCCCAACAGCAAGTGGTGAGACAGTTTGCAGTTTATGCATCTTGGAGTCTACCCCAGGATGCATCAGTATTGACTTCACATAAAAATATTTAAATGTATGCACATTAATTAAAATTGACTTTTCAGAAAACAGCACTATATTTATTATTGTCTTTAGATGTTCCCCAGGACACTGGCTTGTACCCTGAGAGTTTCTTTTAGCCCAGCTTGAAAAGCGAAGGGTCTTAGGATCTTGCAGCCCAGCCCAGGGGATTTTCATTAGAATTGAGGAGGATCTTCCACATGTGGTCTTTATTACTGAAGTCCCTTAGGAAATCTTTGAAATGTAGCTCTAAGCACCTACTTGGTAACAGGTTCACAGTGACTGAGGAATAAAAGATCCACTCACTCAATAGAGCTTTTCGATTTTAGAAAAAAGGTATGTCTAGGTGTGAATGACCTATCACTTCCCACCTTAGATCTCATTAAACTAGGAACCCAAACTAAGATGTTATGAAACTTGGCTTTGGGGACAAGCCTTTTAAAAATGTGATCCCACAGCAAGCTGGCTATCCTCACCGATAAGTACAAGAAGTGACTTATTTATACATTCAAATTTCAAAACACTTGAGAGGCCTACCATGTGTGCTGTTAAAAAAGATTTTTAATTTAAAATCATTTTGTTAGATAATCCTGTTTCAAGTGACATTATGATTTATCACCAGTAATCAAGATTCTGATCCTCATAGACTTCTTGTTTGTATCTGTTTTTGTTCTTTGTGGAATAAATATGAGGTTTATATATGAAATTTTGACTGTGTAATACAGGGCTAATGAGTCACAGATGGAACAATGCTGGCACTTTACCATCTATTAACATTTTAAACTCATATTCCACAGTAAAACAAAAGCAAACTGTACACATGTGTTTTCCAACTTGTAGAATTTCTGAGTTTGTGCAGAGTCTGTGTTTAAAGGACTTTGACTTAGGGAGAAGAAAAAGAGGACACAGGTCACCTTGAAGCTACCCAGGCTCTTAATAGCCTTATCAGAGAGGGCTTGGCAAAAGAGATAAGATTTCCTCTCCTTGACTTCCTGAGAAGTCCTAGTACTAAAGAATTAGGCTAAAGCCTAATTTTATTGGCTTCTTTAAAAAACATGTCCCTAACATGGGGAAAACAATGAGAAAAACATCCACAAAACTAATCAAATTAAAAACCTAGAAACTTTTGCCCTTTCCTAAAAATATTCTCAAAATACAATTAGATGGGAAGGGAAGAAGACAGGACGAAAGCCTACAGAAACTTGAGGCCATGCATTGCTGTGATGGTTATTAATTTGTGTAGTAAAGATGTTCTGTGTTTTTCTTTTTAAATTGAAATAAGAAGCTCCAATTTTATATATTGTTAGAAAAGAAGTGAGACAAAGACAAAATTTGTCTCTCAGACTTCCCTAATTGATAAGGCCTATATGGACAAATCACTGAAATACTTGTCTCAGAAATCTTTCTCCCATTCTCCTTGGCTAAGGAATTCCAAACCACTTTTCTACTTTAAGGGGTTGTGTGAACTGTCAAGTTCTTTTGGAAACATTACATGACAGAAGTGATTACTGCAGAGTGTGACCATAAATCCTCCTGACATGAAATACGCATGTTATAAGAGACAGATTTCCATCCACCACCTCTGCAGGAACTCCTGAAACAGGAGAGACCTGACAGTCATCACACAATTAGAGAAAGAAATTTTGATTCGTGGGTGGTAAGACTTTTTATAAGGCAAACTGTGTTTATTCTCAGGAATACTTCTGATCTGTTCACTGTTGTCCAAAAAATAAAGAATTAATACATCTATGTGTCTTGAGTTGTACACAGACTATCAATAGAGGAAAATCACAGTGTTGTCTTTGTAACAGTGTCTGTAGTCACCTCCATTTTGTACTAACCTTTCGTGAAGAAGATTGAACCAACATTAAAAATGACTAAGTGTACACCAATGTGTACACAGATCCCATCTTACCTGCCACAGACAAGGGTCAATTACAGTGAGTTCTCAGTCATACTATCCCATGCTTTAAGGAATGGCTGGTTCTTTTGGGGGCTTCTTGTGTGTAGGGTTGTGTTTTGGTTTTTTTTAAATGGTGTACCCAAGACCTGTACCAGGGAAGGGAGGTGTTAGGTACGTGCTTGTTTTGTTTGTCCACCAGTGAAATGTCTGTGTGACGTTTTGTGTCGTGTTGTTTTGGTGCTGTGCTGTGTCCATAGGGCCTGCCAGGCTTCCCCACAGTTGCTGCCCTGCACAGCAATCAGATTCTCACCGTCAAGGTTTGTGGATGACACTCATGCCCACTCAATCAGAGCTACAATCCGCATAAGAGTGAGCAAGAACCCAGATCCAGTCCATTGGCTTGCCCAGCTCAGGTGCTTCCTCTCGTCATAATGTCAAGTGACACCTGAGCACCTGGAGCCTCACCTGCATCAATGAGTCAGGTAAATTTTAGAAGGATGCATTCTGATGCATCTTGAACTTGAGGTCAAGCCAGTCTAGTGAAGAGAAGCAGGACCAATGGCCTAATGCTCTGGTATGTTCTTCTAGTCAATTAAGTAATTCTGCTGTGGGTGACAATAAAATGGCACTTGGGTTCATGCCACATTATGCTGGTTGAAGGTCTGAGAGAAATGGAACTGGCTCTTCGTCTGTAGACTTTCTGCTCAGAGGCAAAGAGTAGGGCCACAGCAGCCCAGCTGCTTCTGGGAATAGAGTACCCTCAACAGATCCAGCACAATCAGCAAAATGAGATGGTGAAAAGGGATTTGTTTCCAACTAAAAATCTGGTCTCTTCCCTGCCCCCATCATTTCAGAGTTATATTTCTTTCAAGAGGAGTCAGAGGGTCTGGTGTCAGACACAAGTGCCAGTTCCATTTTGTTTAATGATCATTATAAATCTAATGTGTTATCTTTATTTCTTTCTTGGGGCCTTCTGATGCCTATTCTTCAACTCTCTCACCTCTGAACTTCAACCTTTGACCTCACCTGACTGATCAGATGGTGTTTCCTAAAATCAATCATGGGTTTCTCTCTGCTGATCAGCAGCTCATTAAACGCCGATTGATTAAGGTAGTGGTGCTTCTTGCTTGATTCTGATTTCTTCTTTACATTCAGTTACTGCTCTGTGCACTGTTGCTTTGCCATGTATCTTATGGGTGAGGCATGGATGATGAGTGGGTCGTTAATTGCAAATATCCTAGAGCAAAGTTATGTTTAGTGAGCTGCAATTTGACATGAATATGAAAGTACCAAAGACCAGGTGCAATAGCTCATACCTATAAAATCCCAGCTATATGGGAAGATTGTGGTTTGAGGCCATTCTGGGCCTTATCTTGTCTGAAAAAAATATCTAAAGCAAAATGGGTTGGAGATGTGGCTCAAGTGGTAGAGTGCTTGCCTAACAAGCACAAGGCCCTGAGTTCAAATTCCAATACCACCAAAGAAAAGGAAAAAAAAGGGATACCTAAGTTAAAAGACATGGAAAGACTATGTACTTATTTTTTTCTTAATTTTTAAAAAAATTAAAACTGGACCCAGTAACAAATCCAGTTTCAAAGCCCCTGGCTTTGGTAATTTATAAATTGTTAGGCAATCTGACAGGAACCTCGCATGCTTAATTTTATAGTTATGAAAAGAAAATATATGTGTCAAGCTATAAATGCAGCCATCTATTAAACAGGGAGAACATAACTGATGCAGTGTTGCTATAAATGAAGTTATTCCAAAGTTTTATAGCAGCTCTGAATATAGTGACAACATGGAACTCGCTCCAAGAGCTGTGATGCTGGCTTCTGAGCTGCTTTGATTTTAAAAGCATCTACTCAGCTCGGCCAGTGTGAATATTTATCTGCTCCCTGCTGGCAGGTAAACTGCCAACAGGTTTCTTGTTCTGGTCGCTCTGGTTCCTCTTACAGTGTAAATGTAGATTAGCTAATGGGAATTTAAAGTGCTGAAAAAAGGACTTGGGTATTCATCTTTCATGGTCATTGTCCATTCCCTTCTCCTTTCCAGGGTGACCAAGGACAGGCAGGGCCTCCAGGACCCCCAGGTCCTCCAGGTCCCAGAGGGCCACCTGGGGACACAGGGAAAGATGGCCCCCGTGGAATGCCAGGAGTGCCCGTGAGTTGCTTTCTGGATGGTTGTTCTCACAGGTTTCATTTCATGTTAATGACTGAGAACTAGGATGGCAAGGGGCTCAAGTGACTAGGGAGGTTAAAGGGAGTAGATGATAGAGAAGTCCCCATGCCTTGCAAGCCACTCCAGCAACATCCTGCTTTACACTCAACCTACCAAAACCCTCCAGAACCAGAGATGGTGGCAACAGCTAAGCAGGTGGTCAGGTAAGTCTCAGAAAGTTCGTGCTTGTAGGTGCCTGGCTTCACGTGCCTCCTGCCTACTGTGTGGGGTATGTCAGTGCGTTTGCCTTAAATGGGAGATTCACCTGAAAAATAACGTGGGAGATTGATTTCATTTTCTAAAGGGTCAGTGCTATTTATGGAAAGTCAAGGAAGTAAAACTTTCAAATATTTAACCCTTTACAACTAACCTTACTAAAAAAATCTGCTGATAAGAATAGGAAAATTAATGGTTTAAACTTCAGTGGGTATGATTTTAATATCATTTGCCCTTTGTATGTCAGGCTTATTGGTATAAAAAGTTAAAAAGTGACCTCAATACTTAATAAGATTTGTGAGGTGTTATAATATAGATGTATAAGACACTAGATAAATGGTATGGCAACCAGCAATTTAAAAAAATATACAGACAAGATTTTAAAAATAGATTAATATTAGGACTTTAGGATTTGAAATTAAGATTTATTACTAAATTTAATTTAGTGTATTGCTTTAACTTAAACTCTTTTCATTAGTGATTTTGTAGCATAAAAGTACTAATGAGCTGGGTGTGGTGGAGCACACTATAATCCCAGCTCTTGGAAGGCTGAGGTGGAGGATCTTGAATTTGAGGCCACCTGTAGCTATATAGCAAGACTGTCTCAAAAAAAAAAAAGTAATAATGAGAATACTTATCTACAAAGTGTAAAGTTTTGAATATAAAAAAAACTAAAAAGGAAAAAAATTAGGCAGTCACTAATATTATATTGTCTTTCCCTTTTATATGCTCATGATACTGTGTTGTTTGCAAAGAGTGAGTCTCTTTGTAAGAATAAAGAATATCCTAGCACTTTCCTGAGAAAACCTTCTTAGAGTCTCATCTCCCTTTCTGAAAGCTGTGGTGAATTTGCTCACATGAAAGGACAAAGTGACTTTCAGTAGGTGATTTGCTAATTGTTAGGGCTGCTTTTCAAACCTGTCTGTGAATGTCTCACCTTTTCTCAGGATGCCCCTCAAGACAGAAAGAACCACAGCTTTAGGGGTGTTTAAAGGTCTCTCACTGACATGTCATTGATAAAGAGTGTCCCTTAAAACTATTTTACAATGCTTTGCTGGTTCAAAATTAGCTCATTGAGTATTGTCCACTGTGACAGTCTATGGTAGAAATTATTTTTAAGAAACAAAGATAGAGGTAAGGTATAACAAACTGTAAACAATCCAAAACAGTATCTTTTAAATGAACTTGGTTTGTTCATTTAAGAAATGTAGCTATTTACACAAAGGGTAAATTAGCTTTTTAAAAAATTCTACAATAGGGCTGGGTGTCAGTGGCTACTCTGCTACTTGGGAGGCTAAGCTCAGGAGGATTGAGGATTGAGGCCAGCTCAGGAAAATAGTTCATGAGACCTCATCTCCAAAATAACCAGAGCAAAAATGGATTGGAGGTGTGACTCAAGGGCTAGAACTCCTGCTTTGCAAGCAGTGAAGTCTTGAGTTCAAACCCCAGTCCCACCAAAAAAAAAAATCCACAACTATAGCTTGAACTTGATTGATAGACTCAGAGTTAATTTGTATATACTATCACAGCCACCAAAAAAAAAGATTTTATAACAATGAACTAGGAAGCACTTAATATGAAAGACAAGCAATATGTGTAAATAGAGAGAATTACATGCTTAAGTCTCCCAAAAATATCTGTAGCCAGTGACTGTCATTTTGGTAATAGTACAACAAAACATGGTAATCAATTCTGAATGAATCTGAGTTGATGGTAGTCATACAGAATTTCTCTGTCAAGTTTAGTAAAACAAGTTACTTGAGCCATCATTAATTCTGGAGACCAAAAATCAAAATTAGTCCCTGCTCATTGCTACCTGATTCCGGCACTCAGAGTGATTACCTCCCTGTTCCACAAAGAAAAGTTCTGATTTCCCACAGAGATACCATGTCATCCTCTGTATGTCACCATAGAGGATGTGATGATCTAGACTAACCGTATTAAATCCTAAGATTTTATAAAATTCACTTGAAGAAAAGCTATCAGCCCTTTAAACTCTGTTGTGTTTATGTACCTCTAATCTGAAAAATATGCTCGATATTCACTTGTCCCAGAAAATACTGGGAAAAAGAAAAAATATGTGGGGAGATCAGGAGAGGGGGAGGGGAATGGAAAGGATGCTGAGGTTGAAGAAGATGGAAGTGCACTCCATATCACATATGAAGACAGAATAATGAAACCCTCCAAACGCTGTGAGAAAGAGGGAAAGTGGGAGGGGGACGGGAATATAATGTAGGGGATGACCTTGTTCAAGATACACTGGATGTTTGTATGGAATTATCACAGTGATATCCTCTCATATTATTAATGTATGATAAATCAAAAATAAAGGAAGAAAAAAGGATTGCAATTGTTTTTAATGCTTTACATATTATTAAGATTATCACTCCTTTTCTTAAGGGTGAACCAGGAAAACCAGGAGAACAAGGCTTGATGGTAAGTATTTCAATTTATTTTTTTCTATACTGAAGATAATAGAAAGTCAGATTATTAATAAAAACAAAACCATGGTTGGTATTATGTGTGACAGATGTATCTGTTGTGTGACCCATAACAAAAAGGTAAAAAGCCATAAAAGTTACAAAGTCATATGGTCTGTCTGCTAAGCCACAAGACTGACTACACATTTCAGAAATGATGCAGAAGAAGAGGGGATGACTCAGGAGGGCAGGGTGGCAGAAAGATGCCGCAGGGGTCCGAGGAGACAAATTGATGTAAGCAGCTCTGCTGGAGGGCACATTTAATCCAGGGATGTGCCATCAGTTTAAAAGGAGACTCTTTAGGTCAGGTGAATTAGCACAGCAAACCTTGCGCAGTCATTCCAAGAGTTTGTCTTTTGCTGACAGGTTCCGTCCAGAGAGAAACAGTTGTGCCTCATGGATCTCTGGCATTTAAAAGAAGGTCACGAAGTGACTTTACGTGGACTTGTGTATATTCGCAGGTCCCCAGTCCTCAAAATTGCTTTACCCTTTGCCAATAGGGGAAAAGTCAGGCCCACTTGCTAGGGCCTGAAAGAGGGATGCCTTCATGATTTGAGTACAGTGGGGAAACAGGGTAATTCTCCAGTTACCCAAATCCAGAGAGGACAGCTCACACTCATGCGGATGAATGGCTGGCAGGAAAACAGCAGATGATCACAGTAAACTTAATAGTGTCGGGGTGTTTCGTGATGTGTGGCTCACAGTAGGCAGGTGACCAGGGTATAAAATTCATTTAAAAAAATATTTGGCAAGGTCCTAGTAACACAAATGCGTAAGAGTACAATACTTGATCAGGAATAAAAGCAAACCTGATTCTTTGGTACTATGTTTTTCAAAAAATACTAAATGAAAGAAAAAAGAAAAATTATAACATTTGTCTTTGGTGGTAATGGCACCATTAGCTACTAGTGTCCTGAAGGAATGGAGTGTGAAGGGTTCTTAAGAAACTACAATATAACTATTGAAGTTCCTTTGAGCGACTGAATGTATCTATCATTTCTATCCTGGAAAATGCTCAAAACATATCCCTTCCATTCATTCTTCCATCAAAATCTACTTGGGATTCTTAGGAGCCTTTGTTTGTCCCCAGGCCACTCAGGTTTTATCTTTGGCATTGGTCTTTTACCCTGACACCCTACATAAGATCTTAATATAAAAATAAATTAAATGAAATAGATCTGGATATGGTGATACACACTTGTGATCCCAGTTACTCAGGCAGAGGTAGGAGGATCTTGAGTTTGAGGCCACTTTGTGAGACCCTGTGTCAAAAAAAAACAAAAAGGGCAGGGGGCATGGCTCAAGTGGTAGAGCACTTGCTTAAGCATGCATAAGACGCTGGGCTTAATACGTAGTACCACACACACACACGAAAAGAAAATATCAATTATATTCTTATCTTCCTCAAATTTATACATGCTCTCAAGGATGTACTGTGTGACTACTCACATAATTCCATTTTCCTATAGTTCCTAGCTTCATTTTGTTTTGTTGGGTGCTGGGTATTGAACCCAGGACCTTATGCTTGCTATATACCTGCTCTACCACTAAGCTACACCCAAGTCCTCATTTGATATCCACTAAATAGAAATGTTTGACCTGGTCTTAAATGAATTGTGTTGTTACGTTAGTGTGCCTCAGTTTCTCACGTCCTCTAAGAACTTAAGTGCAGCTAATACTATTTTTTCCTACAAACCTTTTCTCCTTAAAGTTTTCAGTTTAGTTCATGCCCTCATGTTTTAAATGCAGCTAAGAAACTTAATTGAAACCACAAATGTTCCAAGGATCAGTGCATTTAATGAGCTTTTAAAGTGCATTTAAAAGTTACTTTAAAAATTATTCTTTTTAAAGATATTAAAAAATCCTTTAAGTGAAAATTTCCATAATACATAAAGTGGACAAACGATAGTGCATATTTCAGAGCGTTTTCACCAAGCAGATGTAGCTATGTACAAACCAGGCCAGTGACTAAAACATTATCATTAGCTCTCCTGCATCCCCTCATCCCCATCCCCATCTCAGCGGTAACCACCACTCTGACTTCTGTCACCATGGATTAGTTTTACCCGAATTTGAATTTTATATTAATTGAATCATACAGTATGTACACGCTTATGCCTGGCTTCTTTCACACACCATTGTATTTTGTGAGATCATCCACCTCTGTTTTAATAGCCTTCACAGCTGGTTAAAAAAAAAATAGAAGGAAGAGCCTTACTTCCTCTACCACCCAGTTCAAACTACATCAGTCAGTGTATTAAATGAATGAATATCTGTCTGACCTTGAGCAAGTAACTTAACCTGTCAATTTCTCATCTGCCTTGAAAGGTTGCCAGAGACAAATGCAATAAATTGAGGAAAAACACTTTAAATTATATAATGAAGAACTGTATGATCATGTTATTATTATCACTCCATTATTCTCTCTAGATTAAATTATAGGTGTGTATGGATTTATATAACAGATGTATTCCTATAAAGTTTTGTATGAATCAGATTTTCATAAATCAACATTTTTTAAATGTGCAAGGAAATTTTGCTATTTAAAGTCATCCTGCTCAGGGTTTTTTTTTTTTTTTTGTAAAGAAATCTAACCTCCTAATTCTTTTTCCAACAAACTGAGTTTCTAGATTTTTGTATTTGCCTAGTATGAAATATTTCTCTGATCTAAATATCTATTATCAAATACTGATCTGTCATCAAATATTTTGTGTGTGTGTGTGTGTGTGTGTGAACACGTGCATCTTTCAACTTGAACTGACAGAGAGAAAAGTACACTTTACTAGTAGTTCTGGTCTTGAAGTCACTGAGGGGAATATGATCTGCTCTGTGATCCTTTTTACCAGTTGTAGAATATAGGCAGTGATTTCTATTTTATCTCTCTCGTGGTTATGATGAGAAGGGGAAATATTTTATGAACTACAAACAATTCCATAAATGAATAGTATGACCATTAAAACACACGTCCAGTGATATAACTTGGCATGCAGAAAGACCATAAAATGTAATGTCAGAATAGTTGAATTCTATCTATTAAGTGATAGCACGTTGAATACCACAATTGGTAGTGTGCTTTGGTTATGTCCTAGTCATTATTTTGGCCTTCTATATATCACACTGTCTTAAATTATCAGCATTTCATGACTGTCCCTCTCATCCACCAGTAAAAGAAAGAGCACACAATAAATGCCACTGCTCTTGTCTTTTCCACTTTTGTAAAACCCACTCCTCTTGTTGGTTTGGGTTGGGAAAGAGTGCTACTTAGGTGATGGTCCTGGAAGGCAGCAGAGCATTCTTACAAATTGAAAATGTCTCTTGATGATGAAGTGAGGAAGCCAGAAACCACCTAAAATTAGCTCTTGCAAAACCGTTTATGAGTGTCTCAGGTAGGGAATTAGTTTTCATAATCCAGTATAGTTTATATTGCAGAAACAATCATTTGCAGATTAACAACATCTATGACACAATAAAAAGGAACACTAGCAACTCAAGCACTTCCACATTTATTGAATCCTGCCGTGCATCTGTTCTGTAAACGTGACCTTTGGATTTTCTGAGAACTACAAGATAAGAATGTAAAAGATAGAATTTGGAGCTTAAATAAATTTGACTCCAACTAAAGAGGAACAGACTCACTCTGATAAAACTAGACACAGAATTAAACCAAGGGCTGACCACAACTGCAAGAGCTCCAATGTTATGTTGTGGCACAAGTAATCTCTATCTTCCAGTTCTTCTGAAATTTAAATAGTTGCTAAAATAGCATTTTGGAAGGTATGATCCCTTTAAATATTCTTAGGTATTTCTTTCTTTGACAAATGCAAATGTTCCCTGAAACATGAAATATAGTACTTTTAAAAGTATACCAACTAGTCCCATTTCCTGGATATTACGTCTTGGTTCAAAGTGTCTGTATCCAAGTTTTCATAGAACACACTGTTTTCCTTTTCCTATTCTAAAATTCTATTCCTTTCTCTTCCGTTCCCCCAAATGTATGCAAACTCTATAAAACATTTCTGTTCATCTCTTTCTAAATTATAAAAATACTAAAATTTTTTACTCATTGGGCTTTGAAGATACCCAAAATTTCAGAACACACACACACACACAATTGCCCATTAAATTGAAATTTGGGACTGCATCTGAAGAATTTATAGATATGATTAGTTTGTTTTAGTTTTGCTTGTAAATACTTTTATTACATATTGGCCAAATGAATTAATGCTTTTTAAAAAGTGTTAGCTAATAGCATAAGTATAAATTATTGCTTCTGCTTCTTTTAAAATAAAATCGCAATAACCAATGTATGAAGAGTTGCTTTAAGTATAAGCTCTGCTGTACCTTTGATATTTTGCTATCATTGAACTTGGATTTGCCGGCTATCTTGGTCAGCAGATGGCAGACACTAGAAAGAACAGCATATTTTCCTTCCAGATTTGGACCTGGCAGAGAAAGCAAAACCCCCAAACCTTCCAATCACAAATAAAATGAAGAAAATCATCTTAGCACAGTTATTAGACTAAATGTTAACAGTGAAATCCTGTTTGGCAAAACTGTCTGTTCTTCACTCTGCCTGCTGGGGTGGATGCCTTAGCAACCATCTCAATGCTTTGTCCTTGCTTGATCTGATTACAGATGCAGTACACATAAATGCCACACCAGAGCCCTCCCACGTCCTTGGCACCCTTATGCAGAGTCTGTAATGCTTTGTTTTCCCAGTGGACCAAGAGAAAGTAGACAAGTGATACATTCTTTTTCTGGTGCCATCCTAAAGCCCCTTCCAGTTGCCCAGCCCAGGAGAATTCTGTGTGTCCAGGCTTCTCTAGAAGGGCCTAAAGGTCACATTAGTGCAGTGGGTAGTGGAGAGGAGCATTTGACTTTCCTTTGAAGCTAGTGCTGTCTCCTAGAAACAAGATCGATCTTGACTTTTGGGGAGCTCATTGTCAACAGAGACTT